GCACGGATATAGGTTACAATGTAATAGGATATATGTTCATCAATTATATTTTTATTGATTAATAAATATAATGTTTTAAAATATCCTAGCACGGATATAGGTTACAATGTAATAGGATATATGTTCATCAATTATATTTTTATTGATTAATAAATATAATGTTTTAAAATATCCTAGCACGGATATAGGTTACAATGTAATAGGATATGTGTTCATCAATTATATTTTTATTACTATTTATCAAATATAACAGAAAGTCATATTTTAGTGCTTAAAGTAAACTGTTAAGAAGTATTAAATGACTCATTTCAGTTTTATTATATTGTGAACCTTTTTCAGTTTAGAACAAAGCGTTATACCTGTTCTTGTATGAATAAATCATAGAACTGTTTTGTCTCACTGATAAATACCAAACTTATTATTCCTGTAGTTAATATGAAAGTTACCATAACTAATCGTTAATATTTTCTGAGTTCTTTAATACGCTACGAAACTACATTATCACTGGTTCATAAGCAACAACAATGAATTTCACTAAACTATAGAACTGTACACTACCTCACTGTAAAATTATTTCTTCAGCAACTACACTTGAAATTATTGTTTTTCCCGTCCAGGATCTTGTAATAATATTTTTATTTTTAATTACCTCGGTGTTGATACACTGTGAATTATCCACACAGCCGCCGTTGTTCCCATCATCACATTCATTGACGTCTAAACACAGCTAGAGCGCAAACAAAAACACTGTTAATATAACTTTAACTTTAAACACAGCTAGAGCGAAAACAAAAACACTATTGATATAACACTGAGTCTAAACGCAGCTAGAGCGCAAATAAAAACACTGTTGATATAACATTGACGTCTAAACACAGATAGAGCGTAAACAAAAACACTGTTGGTTTAAGATTGACGTTTAAACACAGCTTGAGCACAAAAAAATATTGTTGAACTGACAAATCAATGCAATATGCTAGTCACAGGTTTAAGTTACAAAACACAGGTAGCCCGATGTGAAAACATGATAAACTTGTTATATTTTGTGTAAAAAATAGGAAAATATGGAACCAGAAAGTACATACATCCAACTATCATTACCACTCCATTTAGTTCAATTTTCGTATTACTAATATAAGATATTACATTAAATCTGTTTATCTCTAAAACGTTTTAAAATTATAATCATAAGGCTCGTGTGAGGCCCCTTGCAACAGCTATCCTATACAAACAACAGTGTTAAAAATATTTATCAACTTCAAACTAAATTATTCAGAGACTTCACATTTTCGTTCTTCAAATTCAGGTTCCTAAATACCAACAAAGCTGAGATTATTATATGTTTTTAAATGAAAATATCAATAAAATAGACTATTTATTACAATGTTTATCAATGCTGTAATATGGCCATATTCTGATGAAGAAACGATTTATTCAAGGTAAAAATATAGATTTGTTGAACCAATGAACATCCACACTTTCTAAAATGTTTGATGTAAAAAATTTTTTTCAAATACAGCTTTTTTCTCGTCTGCTCTAAAGATAATATTTTAACGTTTATCCGCAATTACAGCTGTACGTATTTATCAACTGTAGAATTGCCGATGGGGATCCATCGGATTCTTAAACCTATTTTTTTACAATTATTAATACGCCAAATTGTTTACCATTTCAATAATTTGATAGTTACGAAAAAATCATGTAAATAAAAAAAAATTCATTAATACTGCAATCAACCCTACTAATTACTCCTGAGGTTTTCCTATATATGTTGCCCCACCCTATATATGTTGCCTCAGCGTTAAATCAGCAGGCTTAAGGCGCTAACAATTGGATTTCAATACTTGTGGTGGGCAGAGCATAGATATAGCCCATTGTGTAATGTTGCGCTTAACAATAACCTAACTAATCCTATGTATAATGGCTGGAGACGGCTTAAATTAACCTATGTATGTTACATATAAAATGAGTAACTTATCTCTTTTTTTTAATCACTTCTCTTTTAAGATGCAATATATTGTTAGAGCATGGTATATAAATACGTCAGAAAACTGAGATTTAATGGTTTAAATCAGAGATTTTCCCTTGAACTGCTATTCTTAAAAATATCTGAGTTGTCTTCGAATAAACGTGTTCTCGACTAATGATATTTTTCCCACGTACCTTTATACCATATTTTGCTAGGAAAATATAGTCGGCCAATATAATTCTAACGCGGCTGAATCATGCCTTAAATATTTTGAAGTCTGTACAAACCTTGCTTAAATAAGTGGTCAGACTTCACAGGGCAAACGGTTTACATGGTGATCTTCAAAATGTTTTTAGTACTTATAAATTAATTCAAAATTAACCGTATACTTCACACTGTGAGGAAAGAACTAAAGTGAAATAACGCGTTACATTATATACCGAAAGCTAAAATTTAATACATTATAATTATCAATCATTTGCGGCTGCAGCTAAAAGTAAAGTCGTTTTATTTGGTTCCACCTCACTAGGGGGACAATGGTTTGGTTAGTTTTATCGCATATCATTCTGAATTATATTTATACAAAACATAATATTAATAACAAACTTTAATGAAAGTATTTTCTTTGGTTCGTTAACATTTTTCACGTAAAGCTATACAATGACTATCTGTGTACAGCTGTTCCTAATTTTGAACTTATTAAAGGGAAGGCAGCTAAACAACAATAAGTACTGTCAGTTTTTGGGCCTACCTTTATGAAACAGAATAATTGGATGTAACCGTTACTCTTATAGCGCTCTTAGGGGTTTAAATTGCGTAGGAATTGTTTTCGCACAAACGAGACACAAACCATGGACCCTCTGATTCAATATCCAGGTGTACTGACTACTAGGCTACATACGTTTTATTATTGGAAAGAAAGAAACCTGTTGTAGTTTAATATAATGCTTCATAATATGTTTCAACGTATAGATCTTAAATACATTAATATAGAGAATGAAACAGTCACAATGAAAATAACAAATCAGAATACCGTACATGAATTCATATAGAAAAGTAGTGAACGAACTTTACTGTTAGTTTACCACACAACCCTGTAGACAAGATCTATGTGTCTTTGTTAAATAATAGAGAAGTCTTAAGTTTTAGAAAAATCATATAAGTCAAAAACAGAACACGATATATTGTTTACCTTCACAGCACAAACAATGCAGAAGTTACTTTTAATTTAGTAACTAACCTACATAGTGGGTTTACCGAAACTTTTTAATAGTTTCTACATATCCATAGCACACGCAAATTTTCTACAGAAAACTACATAACCACCTGTTTAGAAAAGTTTGTAGAGTAAATTATCAAAAGTTC